TCGACAAACTTTCATGCATCTCGTCATAGTTGTTATACCTTAAATTGAGACTGGAAACATTACAATAATCTCATACAAAATCCAATATCGACGAAATATTATAAATATAATTCCAATAATGTCTTTTTAAATCTTTTTTTACCTCTCAAACAACCTCTCTCGAAAATATGCTCGATGTCTGAATGTGTAGTCAAAAGTTCTGGAGAAGCAATTTTCTGTATTCTTCATAATCATTTCCCATAAATTATTATCTGTATTTTACATATTCAGAATAATGAATACTTACCTTAAGGCTTTATAGGCTAAACAGCGTAATATAGCTTGTTGACTGGACTGCTTACAGCAGCTGTAAGTTCCGCTTAACCCTCGCTTCAGACGATATTACGACTTAGTTTATGGCTGCATCAAGGGGAACCCCCATCACACATGGACAGGTGCACATGATTGGACACAACGATTCGTGGAAACGTCATAATACCTAGGGTATTTCAATTGAAAATGTTTGAAGCAAAGCTGCAAATGTTGTTTCTTTTTGAAGATTTTGGATAAATGCAGTTAAGATTTAACGTCGAAAGAAAAATGCTAATAGAATGTTTGATAAATGTTATGTTCTCGGAAAAGCTCAAAGTCTTCAGTGTTTCCGTTGTTTCCATTAGAGTTACCCGCTGTGCCGTCTGCAAATCTAACCATGTCATTAACATTTCAAAGCGAGACGTAAAGCGAGCGAGTAATAAAAGCCTTCTTTCACTCCTAAAGACAATAATTCGCAAGTATCTTTCACTGCAACCTCAACGGTCTTCTCACTTCGATGCAAATGCATGACTACCTCTCAAAAGTACTTTGGGAACGATTAATGGAGACGATTGTAATTTGCCAGGATAATGTTTGCATGATTCATATTTGCTCGAGGAAGCGAAGGTGAGCGAAAACAACGAGAAGAAGAAGAAGAGTAGTGCGAAGACAAAGAAGGTACACGAGGAGACTCAATTAAAATTAAGACTAAGTGTTTATTTTCTAACAAACATCGAGACACGTACCAACTTAATGATTTGTGGCTTTAATACTTTTCTGAATGTGTATACATTTTGTATGTAAAATTTGCAATGTAACTACAAAAAATATATTGATGCTTGTTTCTATAACATAGAAATTCCTTGTGGTGAAACTSTTCAGCAAATACATCAAACATGCAATTTATCTTTTAATGTGTCATGCATATCTAAAGTTTCTTTGCAAAAGTYATGCATTTAAACTGCATTACATTAACAATAAAAATGTTTTTAGAAATAGTGAAATTTAAGACTTTTTCTTGTCGGGATCATTTCCTGCAAATGAAATCTTTCCTTCTTGTGTGATATTTATTTGGCAAGGTATGGCACCCATTTATTCCTGCCAATACTGCCAAAACAAAAACGCTATACGTCGTGTCGAATTTTTCAATTTGGCGCCTTCTAGCAGTTACGTTTCAGAGTCCACATTTGGGTGGCGAAGCTATACACAGACGAGCCTGTATAATAATTTTGTTTTACTTATTTTATTAGCTTAGTTTCTTGATGTGCATCTCAAAATCTTATCATGCATTAATTGTCGTATTTACTACATTTGTACTCTATTTTTGTATAATAATAACGTTCAATTGTGTAATTACATCACGAAATGCAGTATATACATCATCTTGTAAAGTAATCAAATGGCCAAAAATAAGAACTATATATCTATGTAGATTTTGTAATAATGATAATAAGCACAGACACTAAAGAGGCTTTACCAGGCCCTCTTAAGTGACTTACTATCTCAATAAATGTAATATATTGAACCTGGTTAAAGCTTTCAGAATTATGCAATGATTATGACTGTCTCTGGTTCAGTCCCAGTGTTTAGTGTCCAATATTATTTTGAGCAAATCGTTCATCATCGGATTTTTATAACGAGTTATTCCGAATAAACGATAAAGATTTCAGTTCACAAGATTATGTTCTAACAAGATCATGCAGGTTACAAAGTGCAATTCTTGCATGCAAGTTATGAAGTACAATTCTCGACTGCTGACGACATGCTTTATGGCTTGTACCAATGTTCTAAAAAAATAACCAAAATTGTGGCAAAAGACTTACTAGTTACTGCAATTATCATTCCTCTTCACATTTCAAACGTTTCCAGATTTCTATAAGCTCGTTCACTCGTTCAAGGGAAAGCCATCCCTTCAAGATTCCATCTTCTTCTAAAACTGTAGCATATTCATGAAGCGAAGACTCGCTTATTCTTGGATGTGCTTCTACATTTCTTGAATCTTGTAGTGATTTTATGGCTTCCTCTAATTCCTCACTCCAGTTTAACTTGGATTTTAAGACTTCCCATCGTTCTTTTGCGATGGTTCTTTCTTCGTCTGTTTGAGCAAGTTTCTTTACATCTTTCTCAATATTCTTCACCTTGTAGCTACGCACGGCAACATAGTGCTTTGGCAAGACCTTTTTGTACATTTTGCCCTGAATTTGACAACACAATTCTCCAAAATGCAACAAAGCCCTACTCTGAATTGTAGGTGGAAGAGGAACTCGCGGTGGTTCAAGCATTGGCAAAACGTGGGTTTCTTTGAGCTGCTTCACTTCTTTCTTAAGCTTTTCATTCTCTGTTGTCAATTTTGCCTGTGTAGTCTTCAGGCTGTACTCAACTTTTTGTAAATCCTCTTTAAGCTTTTGGTTCTCTTCCTCGTGTGACCTTGAAGACTTGTTTAGTGTTTTTACTTCGTTTTCTAGCCTTTTCAGTTTAGTCTCAACTCGTGACAACTCATCTTCGAGGTCCTTCTTCTCATCTTCAAGCGCTTGGATTCTCTGCTTTAGTTGTTCGACCTCCCTGTCTTTTGTGTTCAGTTTGATTAGAAGATCGTGGTTTTTCTCATTGACTTCTTTCAGCTTTTGTTGAAGGTCTTCTATTTCTTTGTCCTTTTCTTGTAGACTTCGCTTCAATTGCTTGATCTCAATTTCGTGTTTGGAAGCCAAACGCACATCTCTGTCGTGCATCAATACTTGATGACTCAGGGCTATTCCACTAATTCCCAA